GGGGGTGTTGTAATCATGCTCATGCTTCTTCCCCTTCGTATCAGTTCGTCTCGGAACCCCCGGCCTCCCTGAAATTGATTTGCTTTTCAAGCAGCATTGCTTCACGTGAAGGTGTGGGCTGAGGATCCCGACATCACGGTGGAGGAAGTGACCGCCGAGGCCAGGGGTGCTTGCACTTGCGCCGGCTATCTTTGAAACACCTGAGGTTTCCCGATGCCTCTGCCAAGTTCAGCCACCTGAAACTATCTAACTCCATAGGATGATGTAGGGCACAACTGCAGTGTAAAGCTTCGCTCTGAAAGTGCATCTTGCATCTGCCTTTGAAAGCTTCAGGTCAGGGTTTCTGCGCTTCCGCAAATCTGGGTAGAGGGCAGCTACCAGTAGGGCAAGTTGCGTTTGCACGTCACTGGGTATGCGCTTCGAAGATGAAGCAGACGAAAGTTTCAACCGGTATCGCTATGAGGGGGGCGTGTTTAAATATGCATGATGAACCGGAGTCGCCCAATCGGGGAGGGGGGGGGGGGCGTGTTTGAGATATACGATGAACCCACTGGTCTGGCGTGTTTAATGTATATGATAACCGGAATCGCCAAATGAGGGGGCGTGTTCAAGATATATGATGAATTGGAATCTCCCAATGGGGCTCCTTGTTTAAGATATATGGTGCACCGGAATCGCCACATGGAGGGCGTTTTTAAGATGAAATGCTGAACCGCAATCCCCAAATGAGGGGACACCTGCAAATATACTATGAACCGAAATCGGCCCCATTGGGAAAGGTGTGTTAAAGATATCTGATGAATCGGAATCGCCAAATGAGGGGGCGTGTGTGTACGATATGCGGAAACGGAATCGCCAAAGCACGGGTAGCTGTTTAAAGATGATATGATGAAGCGGAATCGCCAATGAGGGGCGTGTTTGAATGCATGATAAGGCGGAATCGCCACATGGCGGCGAGGGGTGGACGTGTTTAAGATGTATGATGAACCTCACTGGTCCGGCGTGTTTAAGTATATATGAATCGCCAAGTGAGGGGGCGCATTGAAGATATATGAGGAACCAGAAACGCGAAATGAAGGTGCGACTCTAACATAGATGATGAACGGGAGTCGCCAAATGAGGGCGTGTGTTTGAGATGTATGATGTGATCAAATGGGGAGGCCGGGTTTAGGAAAGCGGCTCTGTCGTACCCTCGTTTTGCAGCCTCTGGGTTCAATCCCAGAAGGACAGCCGTGATTTGAAGGCTTTGTGATCGAACTCTTTCTTGCTACCTGTCTGTCAAGCTTCTATGCAAGACTCTGACGGGGGGGCCATAGGATGAGGGTCGCGAACGGCGTCTCATCATAGTGCGAAGCTGGGATCACAAGGGTTCAGGTATTTTAGCAGCATGGGCGGAACACAAGGGAGCGTTTTGGCAGGCTTTTTTGAATGCTTCTATGGCTATGCATGGTTCAATCGTCGTCATCATGATAACGACTGCTACTGCATCCATGATCTTTGCTCGTCTGCTCTTTGATGTGGCCGCTCTCTCACAGAGCTCAGTGACACGTTGTTGCCACTTCTTTCCACAAGGGTTCTTCCAGGCATGGCCTATGCCGCTAACTAGTTCCCGGGGGACGGATCTTCAACCTGTGCGTGGAAAGTGTCCACCTCATCTTATCCGGTTCCGACAGGCGGAAGCTTCCGCCAAGCTGCGAGAAGCGATGGAAGGAAGCGACGTCGCGGCCTTGGAAGACGCCATCGGAGAAGGCGACAAATTGGGGCTGCCGGAGGAGGCCGCAAGGGCTTCGGCAGGCGGCGGAAGGCGTCGAGCTTCGTGGTTGCATGCCAGGTCCTCTTGGAAGGTTACGAAGCCATGCCGCGAGTGGCCGCCCCGGCTGAGGGTGTGAGCCGTTGATGGAAGTCGCATCTTTGGCCTTGTCCGGCATGCGGCATTCGGGTTCCGCTTTCAGGTAGAGGCGGCGCAGAGCCTCGTGAGGGCGATCAGCGGCGGCGACCTGCAAGCACTGCAGAAGGCACTCGCCCATGCCACAGAGCTGAAGGTGAACAGCAAGGCCGGGCCGAGTTCGGTTTCCTTAGCAAAATCTCACAAAGGCTTCCGGCGTTTGCGGCCAAGGAGAACAGCAGAAGTCAAGACCAGGAGGGTTCCCGAGACCTCACACCTTCGACGGGCCGTCCCATCAGCGTATAGTGCAAGCCAGTTTCGGTTTCGGCTGGCCTGATCTGTGAAACAGGGATACGGTCGTTGCCGCAGTCTACTCCCTTGTGCGCGTCTGAGAATTGGAGCGCCGCATGATGCCTGGACTGCCAGGTTCTCGTCGCCGGACACCGTGTGAGGGTCCCCAGTTTCTGTAGTGCCACGGCAGTTCGTAAGTTTCACGGAAGGGCATGCGTCACGAGCTATGGTGTGGGTTGCCATTCCAGCATGTATGGATGCACTGGTTACTCGTTAACAGTAGTATCGCTGTCTGCAGCCTATCCGAACGATTCAGGCCATGCAGAGCATCCCAAAAGATGCCACGTCACCTGACCGGGCCGGGCGCCAAGTCTGCCAGGTTAGGTTCAATCCGAGTTGAATCTGCAGGTCCGGCCGGCCGGCTAAGGGATGACATGCCATCAAGTGTAATTAAGGAATGCAGCACGGGGGGAGTATGAAAGCGTTTGTTGGCAAGAGGTCCCAGTGCAATTAATGTTGTAAGTTTCGGGGGAGTCGAAGCGCCGCCAGGGTTAGAAGCAAGCCTTTCTTGCAGGCCTTGGGTCAGACGTCCGGGCAGTTCTCGCCGCCTCACCGCCAGGCTGTGCCGTGCCACGGGCGTCGTGTGCTGCTCTGTGCCGTGATGCTGGCAGGTACATGCCACTGGCGGCTTCGACTCTGGAGATGAAGCCAAGCCTTTGGGACTGCAGGTGAGCCGGAAGCGCACAGTTCGGAACCCCGAGCTTTCGAAGCCGAGGCCGAAGTTGTCCCAAATGTGGGGATTAAGGTTTGGGGTTTAAGGTTTAGGGTCAGTGCTTCACCACCCCAAGCCATA